CTTGTTACTACTAGTAAGGCACTTGTTACTACTAGCTTCTTGTTACTACTAGTAAGGCACTTGTTACTACTAGTAAGGCACTTGTTACTACTAGCTTCTTGTTACTACTAGTATGGCACCTGTTACTACTAGCGTGGCACTTGTTACTAGTAGCTTCTTGTTACTATAATATGTTGCTATAGTATAGTAGTCAGTAATGGCCCCCCAACCTAATAGCGACGGCCTCCACCCTAGTAGCTTCTGGCTAGAGCTGTCTCTGGAGTCAAAACCAAATAATCAGAGCGAAAATGGCCAGTGGCCTCAACCGACGGATTAGCCAAGTGAAAAGTTGCTGGGAATCTGCAGAATCCTAAGAGTGAATTCCACTCACACCATTGGTGCTTTCTAAGTCAACTGCTGCAGACTCCATAGTTTCCACCACTCCTCACTCGTGATTTGCCGTGGCCTGAGGAACCTGAACCTGCACCGGGTGGACCCTGTCGTCACGGCGCCTGAACGAGGGGCATCCGGCATGGAGCATAGAGGCGTACAGGGAAGGCGCTTGTTTGGCTCAGTTAACACTGTTTGTTTTTTCCAAGCCAATCACTGAGATTCTGGAGCGTGTCAGGCTTTTATGTGAGGCTTATGGGATTGTCTGGAGAGATAATTATACGTGTTCAATCAGAGTGCGGGAGGATTGCCGGTTGTAGCTACGTAGCCAGCAGCAAAGGGACCCACTGACCCAATCATCTGTCTAACTGAAGATGGATGATGTCACTATCCCCAACTACCCAAATCCCCACATCACCCCATCCAAATCACTCAGTATCACACACAGGCTTGATCTCCTCCTCCTCCTCTAGCTCCTCAGAAGCAGGCCCGAGTATCATGCAATGGAGCCAAACATGACCAAAGGGTAGAACGTGTACAAATTTATTTGGCTGCACCTTATAGGCCAGCAACCTTGAGTCATTAGTTGGACTGCTTGAACGTTTCACGACAAACCCAACGAGATGTTGAACAACGAGCTAAGAAAACCCAAAGTTTCCAATCCAAGGCGTCCATCTCTGCACCAAGTCTCTGCCAGGATCTTGTGCGATGCGAAGGGCTTGTGCGGTCTCAGGAGCAAACCCTCGCGTTCACCGCGCTCGCCTGCTAGCAGGATCGACCACAAAAGCGAGCTGAGGTCATTGAGGTCTGTAGATACTTCTGATAATTGTTGATTTTGAAAATATGGCACTGAAGTGTTGCGGCAGGCAACTTCAGCAAAGAATGGATTGTTGTCGTTGTCTTGTCTTTCCACATGACTAAAGAATGGAAGTCTAAGCTATGGAAATCACTGGAAGAACAAGAATGTAATTGTCGCCTGCGCTGAACTCGCTAGGGTCTAAGCTCCTTTCGCCGCTGTTGCGGCGGGAGCCTTTGCTGCCACCCTCCGCAGTCGCACGCACCGCATGGCATACCTCCGCGGGAAAACTGCAAAAAGTAAAAAGCAAGCTCTCCTTGAAGCTGGACGAGAAGGACCGAAAAGAAAAGAAACATGCTACAAAAATATGTTTGGGCCACTTCAATGAGACTGCCTTGAAGGGAGCCTCATTAAAAATGCCGTTACCTTCGTCTTAGATATCAGATTTCGATCCCTTCTTGAGCCCAGTCCTTTCACATCCTTTCACAATATACACAATAACTCCATTGTTCTCCTGCGAGTACTATCTTGTTTTCACGCACTTCTCCCTTTCTTTTGTCGAAACACCTTGGCTTTGTGAACCTCCCAAATCCCACAGACCACCGATGCAACATTGCACCAATTTGACTGCCTCCTGCACCAATTGAACCCGCAGCTCTGCAAATTGGGTCTTGAAGACTTCCAAGAATGAAGACCTTGGCATCACATACCCCAGGAGCAACGGCTCAGCCAGCCACCCCCACAAGAATGTCTACATTTTGTTTAACATGTTCTAAGGAAAAAAGCATGTTCGCAAGACCTGGTGGCAATTTCGGTTGGTTTGGAAGGATCCAAACCTGGCAAATTGGGTGCATACCTTTACCATTCAAGTAGAAGAATGATGACGCAAACTCATCCCGCGTACATCCTCAAGTACGAGGGCAATGTTGAACACCACTAACTCACAAAGGGAGAATAACCATGCCAAGATGCAGCACTTCCGACTCTGGCACCCCAAGATCCGCCATATCAAAATATCATCCCAAGATCCACAGTCGTGTGGTGATCAAACACACTGTGAATTCGTGGACACCCCTGACCTCACTCCTTCACATCAGAAATTGTTCTATATAAATCGTTTTGATTGCTCATGAAAAAGGTTCAAACCATGCGTGTGGGGGTATGTTGATCCCCCGTGGTTTCTACAACATTTGCCACTTGATTTGCCGGGTACGTTGAATACCATCGTTGTTTTGTTCCCACACCGGGCTAAGTGACAGAATATGGGGCACTTTTGTTCCATGTTGCATGCAACGATGCTTGGTGTAAGCTGCTGTAAACAAGCTGCAGGTACATATCATGTGCTTGTGCACCAAAAAAATGTGGTGCAAAAAACGTGATCAAGAAAAAAAACACTCCGTGATGCATTTTGTCGGTCCTCTTTTCTTTGCACCTCGACAATGCATGCCGACCCACACAAATTTCTGCACATTCGCACACATATATACTATATATACATGACAGCGTTGCACAGTTTTGAAAGCAGCCGCGTAATGTTCCAACCACTCATCTGTAGATTGCGACAGGAACATTTTCCAACCGGGTTTTTTGGACTTCAGTTGACAAAACGTTCAATGCTGGGATAGGCAAACCAAACTCAATACCATATTGGCTGGGTCAGCTACAGAGGATCGGCACAAACGAATGCATGGAGCGTTTACAAAGGCGCTTTGGAAAAGTGATAATTTTTTGGATCTGAGGTCGTGCTGGGGCAGATTGCAAAACGTGCTTGATCTGAAAAAAACACCGCGAATCATGCATAGTAATGCAGGCGTCGGATTAATCAACGGGCCCAAAAAAAAGAACAAGTGATATAAGGATGGTTTTAGGACTATTTTCATTGTATGTTGCGTTCTTGGATTTATGTTGAAGTCCAACGCATGTTCTTTGTCGTTGATGTTTTATGTCAAGATGGTTCCAAGATATCTTTGTCCAAATCGTTCACTATCATCGTTTTTATTGAGACGAGGTGAGTAATTGTTGTTGCCATTGTGCTATATGGCTGGGTTGGGGTGTATGGGTTGTAAGTATACTGTAGTTATAGGTTATAAACTTTTATGGGCTGTTGTTGTGCAGTTTTACGCTGTCCATTGTCCATTCCATCCCACCAGTAATCAATGACACAGATGTGTGTTAGACAAGGTTTGCTTGTGTTGAAAATTGGTTGGCTTCATCAAGCTCCATGCTTTTCCTGACAAGCTGTTGTCCCTCCACGAGTGCTCGCACAGCGAACCTTTTTCTGAGGTGCGAACTGTCTTAGGCAAACGCACGAATTGGCATACAGGCAGTGAGGTTTATCCTTCGGGTTTGGGGGTCATAGGTGGGGTGGGATCGCTATCGATTGGGTCACCGAGCGGTCGGGGTTCTAGAAAGAAGACCCCGGCTTAATGTACAGTCAGGCGACAGTAAGGCCCTAAACCAAGGGTCGAGCTGCTGCGTTGGGACCACACCCTGTAAAGGGGAGGATATAAGGTAGAGAAGACAACCAACCTACCGAAATTCCTCATGTGGGAACCTTTGCAGGCCACATTGGACAAAGACGTATACTCGTGGTGTTGCATGCTTCTGCGGGTTCTCCGCCTTTTTGGCGTGCGTCAACACTAACGTCCGAGTGTATGTCCTTTGTGGTGGAAAGGGTACTGCCCCAGGGTGCTCACGCAGTGAGAGCCCAAAGGTCCCAAGCGTTGTGAACTGTGTTGCACTACCAGAACTCGCCATCCCACCCTCACTGCGTTACGTTGCTAGCAGGGCTTTTCTGTCTCGAAGGCTGGTGAATGGCAACATTCCTCTCATGTTTCACACGTCTCACCGTAGTACAGTCGAAACTCTGCCCACACTGGTTGTTAGGGTCTTCTGGTGCTTGTTTTTTGGGTTGTTTTTGGGTTTTGTTTTTTTTTTTGGTTCTCTGGTTTTTTGTTCTTGCTCCCCTCACCAATATGCAGAGTTTCCATCCTTTCCATGATGACCTGGGCACACCGCCCACGTGGCGTCCGTACTCGTGCACACAGTGCGCACACCCAACTCCATGGACCAAAAGATGTAGGCTGAATGGAGGACCTAGGATAAGGTCACCTGCTCACTTTCCAGCACGCGCAAAGGCCCAGACAGCCACCGCTGGCCAATCAGTGTGGATCAGCTGCTTGCCAATTGCGTCTCAACATGCTGCTGTTGGTGAGCGCCTCAGCTCCTAGCCGGTGATTGGCGCGCGGCGGTAGAACAGTAGACTCAGCGAATCTTGTGACGGTTGATGACCGCTCCATCCATTTTGCACATTTGCACGCCCTCCAGGCTCCTGCCGCTTCTTGCCCTGGAGCTTTTGGGGCGGGTGTGTGCTGCCTTCCTGCTTGGGGGAATCCGTAGCCTTTTGGCTCAAGCAGGTCGTAGCGGCCAGCACGCATGTGTGAGGTCAGCCTTAGCT